TTTGGCAATTAGCGGCAATCCTTAGCGTCCTCCGCTTACTCAGTCCTAACGTTGCTCAGTGCTCCCGCTCCTATCCGTGGTTCTGGTACGCTATTTCCCTGCTCGGTTCAGCGTCGCGCTCGCACTTCACCGTAAGTGTTGAAGTCCTCCAGCCGATCCTCCCAAACATCGTATCAGCGTCCAGGTCGCCTCAACGCTCGAAGAGAAGCGCGGCTACCCCTTCCTACTCGTGGACGCTCCCTCCTCCCTCGTTCGACGTATCGCACGACGCTACAGTGACATACATAAATATATATACACAACAGTTAGTAATACACTATTAAAGGATGATAAAATATAAAGTGGAGAAATAAAAGCTAGATAACTGTAGTTCTAAGGAAAATCGACAGGAGGAAAACCGAAGTGCCAAAGCGGAAGATGCGAGCAGGCGACGACGAGGCTTACCAGATAGCTGGGGCCGTGAGTAGAGAAAACTATTCGTAGAGCGAGGTTTGTACAGAATATACGTAAAACACGCTCTTTGTCAATAATAAAAATGCAAAAGCACTGACCTTAGATATTGGTACGACCTTTTATTTTAATGCACTTCTCTAGTGTAGACCGCTGATGACGAGAGTAGGCCTTTAGCAGCCGTAAAGGAGCTGCGGGAACTCAGGTTCACGAAAAGGACCTTTACGCTAAATGCCATTTGAGGTTCGTGTCTGAGATGGGTATATGTAAGCAAAGCCGGTCCGAAATGTGTAACATATGCGACGGAGAGCAGACAGACTTATACGTATTGCTTATTTCTACTTACATTTCCTAGCACCGTCTGCTTGTATACAGCGTTTCAATATTTACAAATTCAAGGCTCATCAGCGCGTGATTGATGCTTCAGAAACGGAGCGCTGAAAATTCCATTTATTGAGAAGTTGCGGCCAGAAGATCGCGGTTTTCAAAGGTGTCCTCGGGCTGCCGAAGCGAATCCCGGTCACAACACCCCACTATGTATGATCTCTCCTTATCTTTGGGACCCTCTCCCAAAGATAAGGAGAGATCGTTTCTGACCACGCAGACCACAGCATCTGGAATGTGGAGTCCCCAAAAAGCAAAGTAATCTGGTTTTACCAGCGCGCGACTGGGAGGGGCGCTTTGGAGTTAGAGTCGCCGTGAAATCCCCGCTTCCGGATTGGTCAACTTGCTCCTGGTGGCAACGGTCGTAGGACGGCCGGTCGGCGGGAAAGTCTTTGTTCCTGTTGGCTGTTGACGCTCGGCGAGCTTGTGTGAAGGCGCTGTTTATGCACATGAAGTCTGTGCATTCCTGTGGCGACTTACCTCGGCAGGTTCTTCGGGAGTCTGGGCGGCAATGGGCTGTTTTCGATATATGGGTGGTGCACACGGATGGCTCTATATAAACGAGAAGGGGTGGGCTTGATCCCACGATCCTGGGTTCTGCAGCGCGAGCTTTGGCTCCACGCGCTCCCAGCTGGTATGCGCTAGCCCATTCGGCCATCCAGCCATAGCTGTGTACGCGACTGCTGAGCATGTGATGACGGCGAGCATCCACAGTTCTTTTACAGCGTGCATGGCCAGTCTTAGCAGCTTATTAATGTGACCTCGCTCTGAGCATGCGCTTTAAAGAGCATCCACAAATATGGCGTCCAGTGAATACTCCCTATAAAGGCCTGGCACATCGACAACGGAGCCATAGGGCACGCGGCCGCAAGAAAAATGAGAGGAGGAGCGCACGGAACGGTGACAAATATGGTACCGCTAAGCAGAAAGGGCAGAGATAGTGTGCGGGCGCTTGGGTCATGAGCGATCACTCCCGGAACCACGTTTCTTTTCGTGTTTTCGTCAAAAGCATGAGCCCAGCGCTTTTTGCGTTCCTGCCTCGCGCGCGCACTCGAGCAAAGAATCACTGCACAAAGCGTCGATTGGCCGCTCGTTCTTGTGTGGCACGAGCAGGCAATCTCTCCTCCTCCTCTGATTCCCCGCTCCTCCTTTCCCATTTTCGGCAGCCGCCTCTTTTCGCGACGTGCCAGCTTTTACAGTATAAATCGTTCCACTAGGAAAAGCAGGAAGAGAAAAAAATGATCTCCCCCTCTCACCCCGCCCTTCGTCTGCTCCGCCGAGTGGACTGTACCTAACATCCGACTGGCGTTCAAACTCGGTTTAAAATTGCATAATTTGGGAAATATCATGCGCAAACGCGTGGATTTTGATATGCAAGTTATCGTGTAATGATATGCCTGATAAAAAAAAAATAACCGGGTCCCATCGCGCTGTTACCTGCGTGCTAATAAAAAAACAAATGAGAAAATTCTGTCAGAGCGGCCGGTTTCTGCGGCGTATGGTAAATCCCGTTCCTGTAGTTTTTTTTACTATATACAAAGTTTCTACTGGTGTAGACCTTTAGGGATAAGGAGTGGAAGTTTGGAATAATAAATAAAAACGTACCCTCACGACGTAATAGACGCAGTGGTTGAGGGTAGTACCGCCGGCTGACTGTACTGCTATTGTAGTAAAGGAACAGAGTTACGCCAGCTGATCATTTACTGAAATAAAACAACAAAGCGGTATAGGCTGAATTTGGAGCAGACGTAGATGTTCTAAAAACGCGAACCACTTCACAATGGCAGCCCCATGCGTGAGTTTGTACACCGCCGAAACCACTGAACTTCCCGAATGTCTGGAGAGGGCGCTGCGGTCGAACAAAATGGCACCGCACTGAGAGCTCTAAATGAAATGGTTTATAGAGGAGGCTATGGCTAGATTTAAAACGCGGTATGCACCATTTCAGTTTCTTTTTTGGTCCGATATGGCCGAAAATAAATGTTTAGGTATAGCTGTGTTAAAACATAAATGAAAGAGTTTGCTTGCATTCAAGGACAGGTTTTATGGGCGTTCTAGGTGGTATGTTCTAGCAGAAGACGATGCAGCACGTTGCCACACGTAAAGCCGCGCCTCTGCCCCCACGGCTATCGTACAGTTAACTAGAATATAGGGGCAGTGGAGAAAGCGTCGGCGGCGCCCCGTCGGCCGTGTGAAGCAAGAACTGTAGACTGCCGCGAGTGGCGCTGTTGTCGTAATACGGAGGACATGGCTACTGTAACATGGAATAGGGCGTCGAGTACGTTCGGAGGTAATATATGTAATGTCTATGGTCGTTTTCGGAATTTGTTTTCGTGAATGTTAAGTGCTTGGCATTGTGACTACATAGGTTCGAGTCTTGTCGCTAAGCAATGAAAACGAAGAGAAAGAAGACGGATGCGCACCGCTAGGCGCCAGCATGCTAGACTGGTTACCCCCGTTTTCACTACGATGCACCAGTAAGCTTTATAAATTAATTCATAAATGTTGAAGCACCCATAAAAAAAATAACACAGGCCACATTAATGAACCGCTATGATCAAAAACAGCTACTCTTGGCGCGAACTTCGCTGGCAGGCGTGCTCTATGATCGAACGCTAGAGCTACCCTGTAGGTTCTACACGAAGCGCTTCACATAGAGGCCGGCTAATTCTCGACTACTCCTATTCTAGATAGCACGGCCAGGAAACTGTGTCGGACGGTAGATTAGACGCACCGGACGTCGCGACTTTGAGGCGCTAGTCTCGCGAACGGGTTAAGCCGAGGATCCGAGCCAATACAGTAGTAATGGGCGGGGCCACCGTTTGACGCGTGGCCTGCAGTGGGTGGTGAACTGCAGCTAAATTGCGCGTAGTGTCGTCATTATTGGTCTACTTTTTTCATGGCATCTTTGTAATACCCGTCCCATATAAACCCTTAATATATATACCGTATTTACTCGATTCTAATCACCCCTTTTTTTCACTCCCGTGATGTTCAAAGGGGGGGGGGGGGGGGGGTTAGATTTAGAACGTGCCCCGAAAAAAATTAATTTCCACAAGAAATATGAATTTATTATAATCAAAATTAACGAATAAATGTTCTAAAGGAAATAAATAAAGTAAACACAGGAGAGTAGTCCGCTTGCAATCAGTTTGCACCACGGTCGACTAGTCGCTATCGCGACTAGTCTTTTGAGGATGATGTAGGGCGGAAGTTTTCGACCGTCGGCTGTGATGCACAGCGTTACGGTCACCCTTTGCTTCTCGTAGCCAGTCGTACGCACTTTTACTTCTCGGGCGCCTACTTCGTTCACGGTGCACGTCCTTGGCCTGTCGATGAACACAGGGGTCTCATCAGCATTGCCGATCTGCCCGAGTCTGTCGCGAGATTCGCGACGCCGCTTCATCACATAACGTTGGAAGCTGACAAGCTTGTCCTCGAAGTCCAGCGGTAGCTTCTGGCGGATAGTGGTGCGTCGTCTCAAAGAGAGACCGCTCCTCTTCATCATCCGCTCCACCCAGCCTCGGCTTGCGCGGAACGCGGCACTCCGAACTGTTCAGCAGCGCCGTGATTTCCGTTGTCTTCCGCGTAAGAAATAACCGTTGCTTAGGTAATATGCAGTCTGCATATCTCAGAATAGTGCAGAAGGAGTTCTGAACAATTTACAAGTCTGTACACGAGAGCTGCCGTGAGAGTCGCAGGTGGCTATCGCGGGCCACAAACGAGGCGTTCATTGGTTTCAGGCACTTCTTCCATGTGCTTCAGACTCTCCAACGAACGGCTTGTCCCTAGTCATGGTAGTCGAGGTCGTTACTTCAAGCCGTGCGACTTGAAGTACGGCATATCCCTGGATGATGGCTGATTTGGTTGGCCTGGGAAGAAAGCAAAATGTCACTACCAGCTTTTTCGATACATCCCGGCACGGACACGCTGATGCCCCCAGCATATATTTCTTGATAGTAAACCGTAGTAGAAAGGGGGTCCTCATGATAAGAATAGTGACGAGAATGATACAGAGACATGCCCCTTTGGCGTAATCTCTTATAATATTTTCCGGCTACAGGAATGTAAAACCTCTAAAAGATATAACCGCGCGCGCCTGTTTTTTTTAACAAATAAATCTTGAGCAGAACGCAATCTTAAACTACTCACACTGTTGGTAGGTTGTTAAAGACTTCGGAAAGCCTGGTGGCGACGGAGAGATTCTGCAAAAGCTATTGCTAGAGCGAGCTTCCCGCAACCCAAACTGGGTAAGCACTGCCACTTTCCTCCGCGTTTTTTTAAAATTAATATTGCACTTAACATACAAACAGCTGATCACGCGGAAGACTAAACAGATGTTTTAAAGTTTTCAGAAAAAGCTATTGAAAAATTTCTGAAGTCTAGGCTTCCTTTGTCAAGCACGTCAATGGCAATGAGTCTTCCGAGGAACAAATTTCCCACGAAAAAAGATCAACTCAGGTATTTTTAACCTTTTATAATAACTTAATTTCTCTAGGGAACGTTTAACTCTCAGACTGATACTATTGGATATATGTTTGCAGACAGGCAGCTGCACTCACAGCAGGAGCGCTGAATTTCAAGCATTTAATTGAAAGGTAAAGTAGTACACTACTACACAGTTTTATATACGTTAATCCTGTGTAATAGAATACAGGCTTCATCAAATGTCCGCGCCATCTAGCAGCTGGTGCACAAATAATTCGAATCAGCCATTGTTTGGTTACTTACTCTGGGCAGGTATCGGACGCAGTGGCGGCGTCAGCGTTAACCAAGGACTCGGAGCTAATCGCAGGCTTCGTGCCCAAGACATGTGTGTTACGAATGTCCGTAGATGGTGTTTTGAAAATTTTTTATATGTGCGATATCTGATTTCTCATAATTTATCATATTTCCGCACAGACAACTTCTCCAGCCTGATGTCAGCGGAAAAACACCCTTGGACATGTCGTAATACCAGCGCATCTTCAGTGTTTACCGCACGCCTTCCAAAGCCTGCGATAAACTGGAGTTCAATACGCCCCTCGAGAAATCTGGGGAACACGTGCTAGTCATACACAACTGCCAGGTACGTGAGCGCTGAACTTCCATTGGGTGCAATCGATGTCAGGTAATCTGCCGTCTTCATCACGCAATAAGCCAAATATTACTCTGGGGACGAACCAAAGGAATCGCTCTGCTGAATCCCAGATGCGCCAGTCGGTGAAGGCAAATTTAAAAGTTGAATATTTATGTTGATCGCATTAGAAAAGTGTTTAGTTCAGAGTTATTGAAATAAAGGCTGTTCTTGGGGCTAAAATTTTTAAGAAAGTATATTTAACGTTCAGACAATGACCAAGGCGGAATGACATCACTTAAAGGGTAACTGCAAAGAAAAAAAATTGAATTTTTAAACAGCCTGATTGGGACAAGCATGTCACAAAACAATTTTTCCGCGGAAAACAAAAATGTTTACACGAATATTTATTGCTCGAGACTAATTTTAGTTTGCGGCTATTTCGTCGGTTTTAAATCGCGCGCCACCAAGTTCGTATTATACGTCACGTAGTGGCTGCTATACGTCACGGAGTGACGTAGCGCAGCCACTCTGCGCGAGTCGAAAGAGCGGAATTTCAAATGTGGGGAAGTTGTGACCCCGCAAATATTGCTAGAAACAATATTTCTAGAAAAAAATTGTTTTTTTGCGGAAGATTTGTTTTGTGACATACTTGCCTCAATTAGGCTGTTTAAAAAACACTTTTTTATCTTTGCAGTTACCCTTTAACAGAGGCACTCGATTAAAGTAACTTCGTCGCCCCAAAGGTGATAACGAGTTACATAGATGTATGTCGCGCAGAGTTGTGCATTTATCATTACAAGGCGCAACAAGCAGCCACCAGAGCTTTAAAAGCGGTAATGGATCTAACAGTAAACAAAATAAAAACGAAATAGATGATAACCGTGCTGTGTTTATTAAAAGTGATAGATCATAATCGCGAATGTCGGTTCACAGATATGCGTGCCAAAGTGATCAAAAACCCATGCTTTTCTGTTGCCTAGCGATCGCTTTGCCAAGTAGCAGTTAAGCACTTATATCTGTTTTTGTCTCAGCTTTTCGAAATCGGAAACTTCAAAGTACTAAGGAGTAAATCAGTTGACCATAAAGAACACCCATCTCTCGCCTTATACAACGTGGCAAAGTAGAAGCAAACTGTTTTAGTACCGTATGTTTGGTATGTGACACCAAAGGAAAGGAGAAAATCAGAGAATACAAAACCACACCTATAATTTCCTGTGCCTTCAGCAGTTACACCTACGTAATCTAATCTGATCCAAAATCCCCTGACACCATTCAATCGCAGAGTAGAGAAATTCCTTCCTTGGCATGCAGGGATGCCGTCACGTTGTAACAGCGTCACGCCTTAGCACAAAGCCGCGCTTACGTAGATATTTTCGGGGGAGGGGGAGATTTTTGCTCGTTCTGCACAAGCGGCCCCCCCCCCCCCCCCCCCCCCCCCTTGGCGTGGGGTCTGTATGAAAATGCCGGTATTTTATTTGCGTCTCTGGCAAACTTTACTGATTTTTCTCAGCGGGATACTGGTGGTAGCATAGAGATAGGCACACCTGTGGCTTGTTTTGTTGCGTGCGCCGTCCGAGGCACCCGAAAGAGTAATCGATATTAATAAATGTCGTCCTGAAGCGTTTCCTCATATAACTGGTCGGGGTTCTACTTCTCTTTTGTTGCATCCGCCCCTTCAAGAAGCATTTCTGTTTCTTGTCGTGTTGCGCCATTTAATTCATGATATGTTCTACCAGCTAGCCCACCAGATGATCTTGATGCATTTAACAGCACTGATGCCCAGGGGCGGATCCAGACCTCCATTTTAGGGGGGGCGGTTCCTCGGTGTAACACGGCGGGGGGGGGGGAGGGGGGAGTGTTTCTATTTTTTGTGGAGTTATCGTTTTACTAAACTCAGATAACATAATATAGATCTTGAGAGCTTTTGTATTGGTTTACCTGTCGCGGATGAACTTTTTGAATTAAAACCTTTCGGGTGACCACGCTAGAGGTAAGTATCTCGAAAATAGTGGTGACACTATCCTTTCTGAAACTTGGGTTTCAGACCGACACTACGTGAGCAGTCGATTTAGGGCAGCTTAAAGACATTGCCTTGGCAGACATTCTGGTTGGAGCTACTGCTCAACTGCTGAGGCAACGGGAAGAGCGGCTTAAATCAGCGGAGCGAGTACAGCGCAATCAAGCGACAAAAATGGCCCGGCGGCTTTCGACGCTGCTCGTGGTGTCAAAACACTGTTGACGCAGCGAGCGAAACGAACGCTGCCATGCAAGTTCGTCGGTTGTTCGCCGTATATTTGGAATGTCCAGAGCGCAGCACAAGCGGCATTGCCAACCCAAACTCGTGTTTTCACGTGCTCTGGATGCAACTCGAGAGAACGAAAGCGAATAATTGTTGAATATTTTTGAAAGCATGTTGCAGTCCGGCAACTATAACTTTTGAACTTAGACAAGACCTTAAACTAGCTATGGATCCTTCCGAATTATATTCGATTGCACTTCGTCTGGATATTTTCTGTATCAAAGGAATTCTTACTTGTTTCTGGGTAGTTAGCTCATTCGTCAGGGTCGAGAGGACGGGTGCAGAGATATGATAGGGCAGAGCGGTTGTAAGGTCGGCGAATCTCAACTGGGCTTAAGGCCGATCACGACTGCAGTATAGATGTTTGGGAGTCGGTGTTCACTCGAACGGGCACAGGCACTGTCCATTTAATTTATGTGTAGCCGCATCTTTGAAAGGGCTCGTTTTCCCCAAGTCCGTTCGACACACACATATTCGCTCCAGCAAAGCCGCGCGAAAGCTCTGTCGTCAATCCACAGAAGCCGCGTTTAACTGGAAAAGACGGCGCCAAGGGGAGACAAGGGGTAGCGGGCGCCTTTCCTAAAATATGTCCCGCCACCCTAAGTTGAAACGGCATTGTATACAAATAAATGCCTACGGCGTCGGCTTGAGGACTCCGTGTAAGCAGCCTCCAGCCTTTAGAGTGCTCGTACCGTTTATCTTTCTTTTATTAGCTTCCCGCCACGAGAAGTCGTACCGCAGGAAGTATGAAGCCCATTAGAGGAAACATCTCCCCCTTCTGGCGCTCGTCGGCATCTTTCTGTATTCCGCGCTGCGGCGCTGATCCTGAGTGAAGGATGGAGGCGAGGACGTAAGCGGGCTTATGTTTAAGCCAAGGTCGTGGGGAAGTCCGGAGCGTCTTCAGGAGAACCTCAGACGCCAGACTACACTGTACCCAGAGAATTTGCTTCCTCTCTCAGTTGAGAAGAAAAACAATTGGTCACCTGGTTGTACAAGCTGCATCCCCCTCCCCCCCTGGAACGTCTCCTCCCGGTACGTCCCCTCCGCACCTCCCTTGGCAATTAGCACACCGTGCCAATAAGATACCTTTAGTGAGCCCGTGGGCGACAGCAACTCAAAGCAAGCCAAAAAAGACATGCCAAAAGACAAGCCCAGAACCACGAAGAGACCATCAAACGAAAAGTGATGAAAAGGCGGCCGCTAGAGAGGAAGGATAATCCGCTACCCTTGAGGAAGGCTGCTTGACGTCTGCGTTTGGGAGCTTCCAGGGCACACATTTTTCGCAGACAACCCCCAGAGAGAGGGAGACAGAGAGAGAGAGAGAGGAAGGGGACTAGATATGTTGAAGGTATTTTCCCCCCATGCTCGACGTGCTGGCCTTGTTTAAAAGTGTGCCTGCAGTCGAGGACCCTGATATTTGGTGCGCCTCCCCACTGCCTCTCCACTTCGAAACTCCTGGCGGCGTCCCTGTCGGGAAGACGTACCGTGACCTTGACGGAGATAAACCCCACTTTGGAAGCGCCCAGCTGGCGCATCCACCCACCGCTGTTTTTATCTTTTGTTCCTCGCGTCGATTGCTTACGTTTTTTCTTCGAGCTGACGAAGAACCCCGGGGGGGGGGGGGGGTTGCCTGGCGAGGCGTTTGGGGGGGGGGCGATCACCCTAACCACCCCCCCCCCCCTTGGATCCGCCACTGCTGATGCCATAGTCCCGTATCGCCGCTTGATGTACGCCTTCATTTTTACACCCTCGGCAGCGCGCACCGAGACCCATTTTTCGAAAATGCCACCGCTAAATGAGTCTGCTAACACAGACACTTCCCTCGGCCCCCGTGGTTCTTGTGAATGCTGGATTCCGGGTGGGAGTGCCATTGGTTCCGTTGATCGCTGACGTCACGGTGATCCACGCAAAGCATCCCTGTGTGAATACTTCATTACAATTAGCGCCAGGGCGTTTGGTGGCCGAACAATAAAGAAAAGATATTGGTGGCCGAGGGTGTTAGCGTATCGCTGGTCGGAGCATGTGGTACGAAGTCGAAGTCGCGTGCTCCATAGGTATCCGCTTCCGGTTACATCTTCAATTTTCAGCGGAACGAGATCTGGGCAATCCAGATTCAGATCTGGAGTCGGGTCTGCTTCGTAGCAACGAGCGAAAGACGTCTGTATTGATCCCAAAAGTCCAGTGGTAGACAAGCGCTCCAGAAAAGTCCCTCCTCAAGCACCTGAAAATGACGAGAGGAATTCGCCGAGCTAGATGCCTACAGACGGATATTTCACCAATCGAGACATTTCGATAACTGCTGCACGCAACAACATACAGCGACTCCCGAAAGAACATTTCTCTTCTCGACTTGATAGACTCCTGAGAGCATCGGCTTGCGATACCCGACTCATGTGCCGCGTTGTCGGCGGAGCTTGCCGCACGCTCGCATCAGTTACGCGTATTGTTCATATTCCATAACATTGGAAAATAACCCCACGGTTCACCATCGCACCGCGGATGCTACTCTCTCGTTTGGTTGCACTATCGCCTCGCGATTTCACTGGTTCCTCCCACCGTGAGGTAAGCCTACGCGCGAGGGTATAAGTTAATACGGCGC